CTCGACACCTGTTATTTACAAAACACGTTTCTTTGGATGAGTCAAAATCTTTCACTCTCGCCTTCACTCTAATCTCTTCGAGCCCTAATCGGAACTACACATCTAACCACACTTTTGGAAAACGTGAAGAGAAACAAATACATACAATATATTCACAAGTATGCAAAACATGTAAAATTCATAAATATGGTAAACATATACAAGTATCAATATAAACAAGTTTCTATTTACTTAGATAATATGGACATTATGTGCAAAACTCAAAAACTAAGAAATCATCGCAATACGATCCAATAAAAACACCAATCTCCAACAACGACGCCATTTTATTGAAGCAGTAAAGCGGCAAGCAAAAGTAAGTATTTTATAGGTTACATCATATAGTTTCCATAGGGATTAGTGCTACTAAATTGTCTTTCGGAAAATCTCTCATTAATGAGGTTTGGTTTAAATGGGTTTAAATTAAATGCGAGAATTAAACATATGAACAAGAAGGAATACATTCTTCATAGAGAAGAAACTTATCAGCCATGATTTAAACTACTCGTCATAATCTTAAACTTATCGATCAGTTGCACTCAACATACAATACTCGTCAAAATGATCAAGTATCTCTCGAAATGTTCCACAATAGAGGTTATGTCTAACACAAAATTGGAGACAACCGTATTAATCGCACTGGCGATCTCTCAACACAACACAAACAACACTGAGGCATTAAGCTATGATACCCACAATGATTATTATATCTAAATCTATGTCTAGAATCTAGAAACTAATAGATATCCATCAATAATAAATATTTGTGAGGTATATGTCTATAACAACCAAAATCCAAACATAAAGCAAAAAGACTAAGGAAGACATCAAGATTGATTTGTAAAGCAAGTTTTATACAACACCATAATCAACAAATATACATAGGTTCAGAGTAAGCATGCAAACAAAATCCAATAAATAGAGAAATACATAGAGAAGAAATGGAAAAAAAATCAAACATCTCACGGGTTGTCAGCACCGATTAATGAGAAATCTGCCTCTGGATCATCCATATTAGGGTTGGATATCGGTTGGGCCGGATCGGTTCTCGGGCCTAAAACCCCAAACAGACCTAACCATGGGTTGAAGAATTAAGGACCAATTTTGCCCAGTTCATTTTCGATTTAGTTCGGGTTTAATTTATTTTCGAATCGATTTAATATTGTGGTTTAATTGGTTTTAGAAATAATTAATTTAATTTCAAAATCAATCCAAAATCAATAATGGTTTAGTTTTAACTCTCCAAAAGCAATTATTTTAATACATATAATTATTTTGGGGTATTTATTAGGCCAAACAGTGGGCTTTAAAATCAATATTGCTAAAATATGCTTCATTTAAAAAAACACCCATATACATAATTATACATATTAAACATCTACAGATCTTGATTCATTCAAGACCATGTACAACAATTTTAAAATCCAAGTTATAGAGCATATAAATATTTGCTCATACGATCAACAATATAAATAAATTGGCAAGCTTCATTGTTATTTTCTAAGCTCTCTAGACCAAAAAATGGATTTGATGGTGTTGGGACTCAAAAATATCCAACTCATAACCTAAAAAATGTTATTTTCCCCCTTTATAATGAGATTCTGCCTAGCCCATCTCGCCCGATAAGCCTGAGGCTCAAAACAACATTTTTTTACGCTTCTGGGTGCATTTCCACGCTTCTGGCTCGCCTCTGCTTCACCCGCCAAGCTCGGGGCGAGCCTGACATCAAATTAGAAAATTCAGCATTGTTTTCGCCATAACTTGAGAATTGTAACTCCGATTTGCGTATGATTTAAAGCGTTGGGAAGCTTATTCAATGCTCTTTCTAACAATGACTAAATATAAATGAAATTGATGGTTTTCTATTCTTTAGTTTGAGCCTTATTCTTTGATGGATTGCTCAAAATCGCATCTTTAAAGTTTTGTCTTTGGCCCTTATTACTCAATGCTCCAGATATGCATGAATACCTACCAAATTAATGGAAAACTATTATACGGTACACAATATACATGAAAACTCAATTAAATACAAAATTATACATATTTACACAATAAACAAAAATTTACACAAAGTTGAGTTTTATTGACGAAAAGAAAACGAAATAAGTCGACGAGTGCTAATTATTCACACTAAAAAACATAATAATTTAGCACTTATCACACATACACACAAACAGAGAAAGCAAGCCTAAAAATGGAACATAATAGGCTCGCCTCCTCTTAGTTTCTAGACACTCCATAGGCCGTAGTGGGTCTGCCAATATGTCGATCTCGAACCACGATTACACCTGGGGGCATGGGAAGAGGTACCAACCCTTGGCCAAGTACGCCCCCCAAAGATGCCCAATAAACTTTAAGCACAAAAATAGGAGGAAACATTAAGTCCAAAAAGAAATTAACCCATGACCTGAAATAACAACATAAATTAGGTAAAACTTGAATAGATAATGAACTAAAGTATATATATATATATATATATATATATATATATATATATATATATATATATATATATATATATATATATATTATAGTGTAAACGTAAAGCTCTGTATATGTCAAGGAACAAGCACTCTGGTAAAAAAACTCATTAGTCCTCCAAGGAAACCACCTTACCATTTTCAATGAACCAATTGAGACGAACTTTGTCTCAAGAAATCGTCATAGTGGAATATAAATATTCCATTTTATTTAAAGAACTCTCAAAAGAATCTTCCACAATGGAAAAACCATCTTATAACAACTTGGCCAAATATTTATTAAGAGAAAGGTTCTCTTCACGCATTGCATAAAAGCCATCCTAAAATTTTCTTTGACAATCCTGAGACTCTTTTAGAAATGTATCAAATTCTTTTATCTTTTTTCGAGTAGAATCTGAAGTTTGGCTCGCTTCCTCTAGAGCAGAATCCACTTTGACAAAGCCTCACTCTTCTTGGTTACATCATGGGAAAGCAACTTCACCTTTTCACCCAGAATACCAGGACACTCAAAAGGATCTAGAGTAGCCATCATTGTCGCACCGCGAACAAACACAGAGTCGCCATCAAACTTTATTTATCCTGAAGGGAAGGGAAAACATCGAGAAAACCCCAAAGAGGATGGATAAGATGGCCTTGCAGCAAAGATAAAGGTCACGAAAGTCGGTTATACTAGGGGAAGGTATTAACACCCCTCACACCCATTGTTCTCCTCGGGATCCACTTCGGTTGTTTGTTTCTAAGAGTGTGTATATCTAAAGTTTACTTGCTAAGGAAATGTATGAATGTATTAATAGGAAAAAAGAAAAGGTTTTTATTATTGAGTTCACTCAGGTCTTGCAACCCAATGCCTACATATCTCCATAGTCCAATGAAAAAAATCAAAACTCTGTAGTTCTTCTAAAAAATGTTGGTTTATTTGGTGTTTTTTAATGAACAATGCTAATGTTCATGCTCTAGCATTAGGTGTTGCTGCTTGATGTATGGAGACTCATGCGCTACCTGTATTACGGTGGAACAAAAATAACATGCCCATTTTCAAAAGGTTTAAAGAGAAAAAATCCAAAAGAGAAAAAAATTTGGATTTATTGAAGTGTTTTTGTTATCTTTGAATGTGTTTAAGTATGTTTAAGTATTTTAAATTTTTGATTAAGAAAGAAGTTTTAGTTTTATTAAAGAATGAATGAAGATGAATAAAATGCATAGAGAGAAGTAAAGGGAGGTGTATTAGGTAAAGGTAGGTCGGTTGCGATATGACTAAGCACATCGACTTATTATCAAAGACATACAAGGTTTTCTTATTTGGTTTATGATGGTGGAGTAGTGATAAAAAATTGTTGGAAGTTGGTTGCGACATGCCTAAGCACATCGACTTATGGGTAATATGAGGGATATAGGGAGAAAACCTAAGAAGGGAGGTGGAAGAGAAGAATTCAATTTCTTGTTTTTGAAAATAGTTTGGTGTTGGACCAAGCTTTGATTTTCCTTTATTTTTGAAATTGTTTTCTACTTGTTTGATTTTATCTGCTTAGCATGCATCTCATACAAACATTCAAATCACACAAAGCACACATCCTACGCTATTACATTGTTCATGGGGAGGAGGTACGATTTTTCCATCATGGGGGATGGAACACTTACTACAATATTACAATATTCAAAAGAAACTTTAAAACAAAATTAAAATGATAAAAGTATAGTTATTACAACAATTTGCACAATATCCAAAGGTACCATAATACTTCAAAATAGTACCTCACAATCAAAATAAAGATGTTACTGTGATGTATAAAATGATGCATGATGATGGCACAAAAATTCAACAAGAATTAAGATGAAAGATAGCACAAAAAACCCTAAAATTTCACATTAAATCTAAAGGAATCAAGCACATTTATGAACATTTTTATAGAAAAAAATCAAGGATAAATATTCTAAAGTATGATCAACATATCACATTTTTATGTCCATTTTTATCTTAAAAAAATTAAACTTACAAGAAATATTAAAAAATATATAAATTAACAAGAAATTAAAGAGAATGAAAATACCATACAAATAGAGGGGTTTTAGCATGGAAACAGGGGGTATGCGTATGAAATTGATTGGTACAATTGTGACCTTTCAGGTCCAATTGAAACACTCGGGTTCCCTCTCTACGTTCTTCTCTCTCTCTCTCTCTCCTTTAGATAAATCGCCGCCGTGCTGGCATGCCTCACGACGGCGGCTTAGAACCCAGAACCACAAATTGAATACACCAGATTCTTCGTCTCCTTCCCTTCTTTCCAAAGCTCCAATCAATTTATACATATTCTCAACCAATTACTCTAAATCTAAGCAAAAACTAGAACCTTAGAACTCAGAAAAAGTAAAATTAAACGGCAACGGCGGGGGATCTTTCTTCATAAGCTTAGCGTAAATATTCTACAAGTTCTGCTCTACCACATGGTATCAAGAAAATCAGTAAAATGGCGAAGCATACACCTATCTCGTGGCAGTGCTGACGGACGATTCCGACGAAGCTTCGAGCCTCCGGTATGTCTCTTCTCCTCTTTGCTTCATCTTTAGCTTCTTCTCGCTTCTCCTACTTCTTCTATCTCCCTTTTCTTCTTTTGCGTTTCTATGTGAGTTGGTTGTTAAGCTGCGATTTTGAGAGTATGAGAGTGAGGTTTGGTGCAGGGGCTGTTTTGGTTTGGTGATTATGGTCATAAACATGGTAACCTCTTGATAGTGATGAAGTTGAATGAGCAAAGGCATGGATTTTATCCTTTTGATGCAAATCTCTTGGCTTGGAGTTGGCATGATCATGAAGTTTTCAAAGAGTTTTGGAGAAGATATGGAGAGAATTGGCGAAGGCATTTGGCATGGCATGAAGTTTGGAGAAGGTTAAAATGAAGTTAGGTAGTTTAGGATTAGGTTTATGTATGAATGTTTCCATGTAATGTACCTTTGTAAAACTTCTATGTAACGTTGTTGATGGATGAAATGTGATGATTTTGTACTTGGATGGTTTTTGGTAATGAACTCATGATGTTGTAATTGTTTTTGTGTAATGAATCATCTGAAATTTGAAGACTCAATGGTATTCTTTCCAAGCCTTTTTCTCTTTCACCTTTAGAACTTGAATTCTCACACTTAAATAAATGCCTATGTAACATGAGATAATTGTGTACCTTCAAAGAGTGAAACATTTCCCTTTGCTTGAATTTGAAGTTCGCTTTTTATCTTTGTCCTTGTGATGTGCTTTGCCATTACCCAAAGATGTTCATGCTTTCTTTCAAATCTTTTGGATGGATCACCATAATTTAGATGTCTTCAAGAGAATGTCTTACACCTTCTATCCATGAAATCTTAGTATTTCATAAGAAACTCTGGGATTAGACTTCAACTTGAGATAATTGAAAGAAATCTTAGTTGATGAATAAAATCCAAGTGAATCTCCTTATGAAACCATATCTTTGTGCCTTGTGATCCAAGCAATCCAATGAGCTTCTTGTTTAACAAATAATGATCAAATAAAAACCCTAATTTCATGGTTGGGATCTTTTGAAAGAAACTTGTACCTCAACCTTTCATTTGAAGCAACAATTGCTTGGAGAGGACACCTTTGAACCATGATACTCAAAACCCTTCTTGATGGATGATGGATAGATGAAACCTTGATCCATAGCTCAAACCATAAAACATCCCCTTAAATGATGGCTTCTTCCTTGCATTGTCTTGCATTGCATAATGAAACTCTTATAATCTCAACCCTCAAACCATGGTGGAATTCCTTTTGGATGCTTATGTTTCTTGATGAATAACTCCACATGAAACCCTTCTTTAAAGTCCACATGACTAGGGAAATAAACCCTAATTCATATAGAGGTGATAAGTCTTAAGAGAGGGCCTTCCATGCATGGGCTTGTAGCCTTTGAGATAACATTTGTGAACAACTTGTATGTCAAGCAACAATAAGCACCTCTTGTGTTAAAGGAAGCCAAAGAAAATGAGGAGAAGAGCTTTAGATGACATCTACCCCAGCCTTGAGCCTTCATCAGATGACCTTGAGTATAGGGACAAGACCCTAGTCACGATCCTTGAATCTTCGATTGAAAGAAACCCTGCAAAAGAATAAAACCCTAGTGCATATGTGAAGCCTTAGTCTTCTTGGCCTTTGATCCCAAATGCCAAGCCTTGTTAGTGAATTCATGCAATGTCAGATGACCTAATGAAAATGTAATGCATATTAGGAGAATGAAAAGCATAAGCCAAATGATTTGATAAGGATATGACATATTTGGGGCATGACAACCATAACTAGGAATTAGTTTGAAGTATCCAAATCCTTCTCCATATATCGGTTGCGCTCAAATGTAAGGTCGTCAATCCTCCCTTTGAGTTTCTCCTTTTCTTGATGAAGGCGGTCGGGTAAGAAAACTTATCTCCAACTGGCATGGCCGAATGTCAAAATAGATGATGCCTGACGACTATGACAAGGCAATGCATCCAACTCCCTTTGATGAGCTTTCTTAGAGAGACCTGAGAAATAAGCGTAATCTTCCTCATAAACAAAAGACCAGGCTTTTTTTATTTATCCTTGGACCTAAATGTGTAGCAACACAGGGTTTAACCTCATTTAAATAGAGGTTTCTCCCCTTGCAGAACTAGGCCGAAGATTCTTACAGAGAGGACTTCCGACCCAAATATTTTCTAATATAGGAATGGAGGCCAACCTTTCAGCACCTCCTTGATTTGTGTTGTAACTAGAGGACGTCCTGGTAGGGAAACTTGAGGAAGAAGCTCCCCTAAGGGAGAGCGTACTCGGAAAACCCATTAAAGCGACAACAATATGAATCCCTTTCTTAAGTAATTACATGTCATCATCTCCTTTTTGAACACCACATCAGAAGAGACAACCCCAATGGCATAGCCAAGTTCTTGACAGTAGGCCACCAATTGATTCTTCAATAATAGTCCCTTCTATGGTAGGTGCCCTACCCAATAGCAATACATTCATTCTCATGTTGTTAGTACCATGTTTTTTGGGTTGGCATAATTTTTGCTAAAACATGGTTTGCCATAATAGGTTTGCTGTTATGTTATTTTTAGCCAGATGTCAAAGACAATGTCATGACATCTTGGTCTGGTGCAGCAGGTAATGTTGTTTTATTTATTCTTGACATATTTAAAATGATTCTGTGAGATTCCTTTTGGTTTATCTCACTGATTTTTCGCATGTCAAGGATATTTAAATCTGGAAAAAAAATAATATCTCCAACTGTACACATGTTTCTATAATTGGTTGATTGAGACTAATTAGGAAACCTTGTGTTTTGTTTCAAGATTCAAGGAGATTTTCCTGCACATATTGGTGCATCCCTTAGCATGGACAACAAGGAATATTTGGGCGCAGCTGCAAGACCCAAGAATTTCTTAGGAGTATTTAAAGAAACTACCTAGACTTAATATCATTAAGAACTTTGTAAAAATAAGGGGAAGACGAATTTTCTTAGTTTTTGGGTTTGAGGGTTTTTCAAGAGAGTTTCAGTTTTCTATGTGTCCTCGTGTATCTTTGATACATTTGAGCTGACTGATTGTTACTTGTTCACTAAGCTATTGTTCTCCTCGAAGCTGTGAAGCAAGAGTTGAGTATTGTTCGTAGTGAAGCTTTTAAGCAAATTAACTATTTGTAATTTGAAAGTGTGTTCTTCCTGTTTTGGTTTCTTGAGACATTCCCTGGGACCGAGGTTGTTTATTTATCATTGAGGTGATTGGAAGTGGGATGGAAATTTTCCATATCTAGGAGGTGCCTAGGTAGAAGTTGCATTGGGTAGGGATTAAGTGATAAGTTGTAAACGAGGGAGTTTAGCTTAGAATTAATATTGTTGATAGTTGATTTCCTTTCTAGCTTGGTAGCTCCCATAGTAGGTGAGTTTGCACCGAACTGGGTTAACAATTCTCTGTGTTCTTTTACCTTTTGCACTTTATGTTTCTGCAATGTTTTAACTTTGGTAAAAGCTTATGTTCTGTTAGCAGATGTTGTAACATCTATCGTGACATTATGCTTGTGCGTTGAGACATTTGTCTTTATATCTATATTGTATGCTCGAATTTCAATTGGAATCAGAGCAGGCACCCTGTTCTGTTTATTAGGTGAGCTCCATAGAAAATATCTTTTGTCACTATGGACAAAGAGGAGGGATATTGCAACATGAAACCTCTATTAGATGACATAAATTATGACTGGTGGAAGATTAGAATGATGTGTTTTCTAAAATCCATGGACTTGAAAGCATGGAAGGTTGTCTTGAAAGGATGGGTCCCTCTTAGTGTGAAGGACAAAGAGGGGGAATGCGTCCTTAAAACCAGAGGAAGATTGGTCTGAAGATGAGGAAAAATTATCTAGTGTAAACTCCAAGGATTTGAATGCTTTATTCAATGAAGTAGACAAAAATGTCTTCAGAATGATCAATACTTATACCTTGGCCAAGGATGCTTGGAAAACTCTCAGGACAACTCATGAAGTTATATCCAAAGTAAAGATGTCAAGGCTTTAACTTCTCACTACTAAGTTTGAAAATCTAGATATGGATGATGATGAAACTATTCAGGATTTCCATATGAAGACTCTTGAAGTTGCAAATGCATCAAGCCTCTTGGGAGAAAAAATGTCAGAAGAAAAGTTGGTCATGAAGATTCTTAGGTCTTTCCCTAGGAAATTTGACATAAAGGTAACAACCATTGAAGAAGCTCAAGACGTCAGAAGTATAAAAATGGATGAACTTATTGGATCTCTACAAATATTTGAATTAAAGATGAGTGAAATATCTGTGAAGAAGAACAAAAGTATTGCCAGAATTTATGACTCTGATGCAGATATGTCAAAAGGCACTATTGCTGGAGCGGTAAAACGGCATGCAAAAAGTAAGTTATTAATTTACCAGGTGATATTTAGGTTATATAGTATCGTGTCCACGGAGATTTGTGTATTGAATTACCGTTCGACAAATCTCTTGTTAATGAGTTTGGGGTTAAATGGGTTGAAAATAAAGGTATCAACAGAAAATAAATCTTTAAAAAGGAAAACAGAATAAATTATCAAGCATGTTGTTGCACCCCAAAATTTACCCTCTTGATTTAGGCTTATGTTTCATCATGAATATCATATTGTATTGCATTCATACATTGTGATGGGATCAAAATACTTTGGTTATTAAGTCTTCCTCAAGCTTTGAAGGTTGATTGCATTGACAAGTTGCTCAAGTAGAACCTTATCATCTAAACCTCTGGATCTTTCAAGCTCAAAAGTTATTGCATATCTCAAGATATTTTATCCATCTCTTTGGATCATCAGAGGATTGAAGTTTGTGTTTGATTTTAAGAGGAATCACTCTTTTGATTCACCAGTAAGATTAAGGTTTTGTTTGATCAAGGCTATTGATTAGTGTACAAGTCTTGATTTGGAAGCTACAACATGTCATTGGTATTTGAAAAGTCCTTGTACAAGAAATTGGTCAAGATGCCCAGAGGATTTGAAGTTTTGAAGATGATTCATCAGTCTCCTAAGGTGTTAACCAAAACTAGGGTTTGGGATTTTATCAAGATTTCTTGAGAAGTTTGAAGTGAAACTTTGTACATGGCCTTTATATATTTGGAAGACCATATGTTTGAAGTCTTGATCATCAATTTTGAAGGGAAGTGGATCAATTGATTCAAAGGGGCAAAATGGTCATTTTGGTCAAAATCAGTCAAAGTCAAGATTGACCAAGTGAACTTTTGGTCAACCATCCATTCAAGGGTGTACTTTTCATATTTCAAGTCAATTTTGATCATTCGATCAAAAAGATTGTGGTTTGGGTTGAAACTTGTTCATG